ATTTCAAAACTTGTTTGGTTAGGCTGAAATTTGTCTTTGAAGCAATCGATTTTATCTCAAAAGGTTGCTAAATTGTCATTTAGAGAAGTGGATTTTATCTTAGAAATTGAAATTAAAACTCCTTTTTTTATGAAAATGCATATATATATATATATCTATATATATATAAGTTGACAACTCTAAGATTCTACCGTTTACCAAAAAAAAAAACCTAAATAACTGGAAATGTTATTTTTCAACTCTTTTTCATGATATGGACAAATAATAAAAGTTTTTTATCATTCAAAATAATTAATTTTCGGACAAAAAAATTGGGGCTTTAACTTAATACAATTTGAATGTAATTGATGAAGAGGACACTGAAGTCCCTAGCAACACAGCTTTAGCGAGTAACAAGTACTGTTTTCTTTTCTGAAACTACTCCTTTTGCCTTGTAAGAGAAAAATCTCATAGATAAATGTTGAGTTTCCCAGGATTGCACTCCATCCACTCGAAATATCTTTCATTTTTTTTCCTTTAATGCTATTCAATCTGTTTTTTAAAATATTTTAATTAAAAAATATTTTAAAAAAACTATGCACCGCATTATTAAAGAAACTATATTATATAAGAAAAATAATATCAGAAAAGTTAATTATTAGGTGGACTTCCACATTTCATGGCTACAACTGATGATATTATAGTGGACTATACAGCACTGGATATTGTACAGGAATTGTTACATGGTTGTTGTTTTTTGTTTGTATATATAACAACACTGCGTCATGTATTTTATAAAGTTATGCTACTTCTATATTTATAACATTTTTCCCGTTTCATTTCCCTTTTTAATTACTTTTTTATTGCAATAATTCTGGAAAGAGACGATTGTGATTTCATATGAAAGCTTACTCATCCGTCTATTCATCGTCATTTGCAATATTAAATTAGTGTTATTAAAACCAAACCGGTGTAGGTAAAGATTTTCTTAAAAAGTTGATTGGTGTTTGCCTTGTTAAACTTTAATGAATCGATAAAAAATAGTTTATAACTTGATTGAGTATTTTTTAAAAATAAAATTAAAACTATATCATTTTAATTTTCTTTAAATATTGAAATAATGTTATTTTGAATTAAATAGTTTTTGAATTTTATATTATATAACATGAGTAGTTCTTCATCAATATATAATAAATAAATAAATTGAAATAATTGAAACTCGGCCTACTTTATCGAAGAAACTTACCGAATATATAAATATTAAACGTGCCTTCTTAATTATGTAAAATTATGTATTTGCATACCAAGTCAAAGCCCTTTCTTTTTTAATTTCCAAAATAATGCAATCGTTAAGGCCCAAAAGCACTATATTTCCCCAAATAGAAATAAAATTAAATGATAATTAGTTTTGATAAGTTATAGAAGAATAAAAAATTATAATCTATTTTGAGAGTTATCGTACGGATTGAAACATTCAAATTTATATATATATTTGAAGTTTGTTTGAGCGGAAGCATCAGTTAAAAGGAAGAAGGCTAGGATTAGAGAAAAAATAAAATTGTTTTTGAAATTTTATTTAATAACTTAAATTTTTAATTAAAATAAGTTATTTTTAACATAATATTAGTTTATATCAATATAATCAATGATATACATTGAAAAATGGAAATATATCATTTTAATTTATTTTTTTTTAAAGTAGATCCTACAACAAGCACGTGTGATTTAATTAAAATTAGGGATACCGTACTTTGTTTAGAAAATAAAACAATTTTTTTTTTATCTTCAAAAAGAAAAGAAAACACATTGTTATGTGATTTCATCATCTCCTCTGTTATTTGGCTGTGGGTAATACATAGCTAATTTATTTTTATTTTTTAATGGACCGGTGGTGAACGGACGCATTATACTTTTTTCAGTGTTAGTTATCATGCATCTAAAGCATGTATTAATTTTTTTGGCACCGATAAGTAATGATCCTAAAGGTTGATTTGGAAAAGTTGAGCCTGTGATTTTAAAGTATTTAAAAATAATACATGGAAAGGATCGTAATATTAACCTTTAAAGTATTTAAAAGTTATAGTTATAGTTAAAAGCTCACTAAGTATTATTAATTTCTTCTTAGGCAAACATGTATCATTGGATCATTTTTTGAAAACATTTCCCATTTCCTGACAAAAAAAATTTCCCATTAAATTGAAAAGATTTTCTTTCTATGAAGATAAAACATCTGACCGGCATGTAACTGAATTAATATCTTTACTTTTTACGAGCACGAGTTTCCATACATTGCATCTTGATAAATAAAAAAAATAAATTTTTATTAGTATATCTTTATTAAAAATTAATATATTAAAAAAATTACACATATAAAGTTTTAAAAAAACAAATATATTTCAATGAAGGCGCATTAGGTTTGACAATGCTAAGCCTCGAGATGCTAGGCTTGGTAGAGCGTCATGCCCTAAGCATGCTTGGTCTTGCACTAGCCACACCCATACATGGTAGAGTTTGGTAGTGTGTCAAACTCTGAAAATGCTAAATATAACGCTAACCAGATTCTAACATGATTGAGTTTAGCAATGTGCCTAGTCCTAAAAACACAGGATATGGCGCTAGCTAGACCGTAACGTGATTTGGCTTAGCAATGTGCCAAACTTGGGCACGTCTAATGGAATGACCACATCCTCTTTTGTCATGTCCAAGAAAATAATCATTCTTTCTTGACACATCTAAGAGAATAAAGTAATATGAGTCTAGCGATCAATTCAAACTCAAGGTATTTAGACTTGACATTTAGCCAAATCTAAGATTACGTGGGTTTGGCAAACATGTCAGATCTAAAGCAATTAGAAATGGTAGTTCGCCGAGTCCAAGGTAACGTAAGTTTGTCAAACATGTCAAACTCAAGTACATAGGCTTGGCAGTTAGCCAAGTTCAAGGTAAAGTGGGTCTAACAAACATGTCAGACGCAAGACACTTCCTTGACAAGCCGGTAAATTCAAGATAATAATCATCCTCTCACACATACTTTATGGGACACATCTAAAGGAATGATCATTCTCCCTTGACACATCTAAAGAAATGATCATTCTCCATTTGCACACCCAATAAAATGATGTAATGTGAGCCTAGCAAACATGTCAGACCTAAAATATTTGAAATTGGTCATCAATCAAATCTAAGATAACATAGGTCTAGTAAGCATGTTAGATCAAGGCATTTGGACTTGACAGTCAGCCAAATTCGAGATAATATGGATTTATCAAACATATCAAACTTAAGGTACTTAGACTTAGCCCTCCTCAAAGTCTAAGGTAACGTGGGTTTGGTAAGCATGTCAAAGCCAAAGCACTTGAACTTGAAAGTCTGGAAAGTTTAAGGTAACGATCATCATCCATTGACACTTCCAAAAAAATGTTCATCCTCCCTAAGCATGCCCAAAAGAATGAGACAATGTGGATTTTGTGAGCAAATCAAACTCAAGATACTTGGACTTGATATTTATTCAAGTTCGAGGTAACATGAATTTAACAAGCATGCCTAACTTATAGCAATTGAACTTGGCAGATAATCAAGTCCATTGCACTTGGACTTGACAATTTGTCAAGACCAAGATAACATGGGTCTAGAAAATATTTCAAACTTAAGATATTTAGATTTGACAGTTAGCTAAATTTAAGGTAATATAAGTTTAGAAAACATGTCAGATCCAAGGCGCTTAAACTTGGCAATCCAACAAAAAAAATATTTCAAACTTGAGATATTTAGACTTGACAGTTAGCCAAATTTAAAGTAACATAAGTCTAGAAAACATGTCAGATTCAAGGCGCTTAAACTTGGCAATCCAACAAATCCAAAGTAACGACCATCTTTTCCTAGGCATATCTAAGAGAATGACCACATCCTTCCTATAGCACACCCAAGTTGACCATCCTTTATTAACACATCCAAGAAAATATGGATCTATCGAATATATTAAATTTAAAGTATTTAGATTTGATCATTCACCAAATCTAAGGTAACTCAAGAGCCTTATTTCTTTGCCACTTAAAATTTTTCAGACTTTATCAATAAATATTATAATCTTTTTAGAGCTTGAGATCTCTTGATAGAAAAATTCTTAAAATTTTATAAGTACACTAACTGTTATTTAATTTGCATAAAATATTTTATATGTGATATGCAAAAAAAAAAAAACATCTTCCAAGGCCCATAGGAAATGATGTAAAATTATTAATATCAGCATATTTTCTCTTGCTATTAGATTATTGGACTGAAATAAAATAATTAATTGACATTAGATGGTCATTGAAGGCATTGCACTACAAGTTTACAAATAGGAGCTGTCAGGACGACGAGTAGTAACAATGGAATTCAACTTAGCGTCATAAACCCTTGTTAAAGTCACAAATATATAAAATATAAAATAAAACAAGGTTTCTTTTATAAAAATAGTTGATACAATTTGATCTAATAATATTGTTACAATCTCAAGTAGATAAAAACTTTGAAGCTATAAATATATTTGGTTGGAGAAAAAAAATATAATATTTTAAAAATAAATTTATATATTTTAAAAATATAAATTAAAAAAACCCTTCCTCTTCAAAAATGTTTTAAAAAATAATATAAAATGTTTATTATTATAAATTTTCATTTAAAAATATATTAAAATATTTTTTTATATATATTTAATTTTTATATCAGTACATTAAAATTATTATAAAATACTAAAATACATTAATTTTATATATTTAAAAGATAAAAATATTTTTAAAAAGCCCGTTTGAAATTAAGATTTTTAAATATTTAAAATTAATTTTTTTTAAAATATTATTTTAATATATTTTTAAATAAAAACACAAAATAAAAAATAATCCCGGCAACATTACCGCACTCTCTCAGGCGGTAGGATGGCGGTAGGATATCTATACCTATAAATGGTAAAAACTGATTCCGTGCAGAAAGGGAAACAAAAAGATTCCATCCGATATATCGCCATTTTCATTTCCGGATTCTCCTCCATCTTTGGTCCCTATATATATACCTTCTCATTCTCCCCCAGCACACCTCAACCTTCCTCATTCAAGAGCTCGAAAACCCTCAAATCTTATCAAATATGGCTTTTCGAAAATTATTTTCGAAGGGTACCATCACCAGCGGTTGTCGAGTTCCATCACCTGCAGCAACTCTAGACCACTCATCATCACCCATTAAAACCCTTACAACGCCACAAAATAATGCCTCATCAAAAATCAACCTACACAAAGAGCTTCTAACAGGAGATTCAGTCGATAAAGGATTTTTCCGGAGATTCCTTCACCGTAGAGCTGTTAACCAGTTACCAGAGTTCATCTCCATTCCGATTGGAGAGAAGTTAAGAGAAAAGCTCAAAGGGTTCAACATTTCCAGTGACCGGCTCCACCTTGATGGTCTGACCCCACCGGAACTGGTCGCCGGAGAGGCGAATACTTTCGGAATTTCTGTTGAGAATGCGAAGAAGATCCTGAGGGTTTCTCTGATGGAGAAGTTGAAGGCGAGACTTAGAGAGATCCCAAAAGTATCGATTATGTATTCGGAGTTTGTTAAAGTCTGTGTTGATGAGTGTGGAAATGAAGATCTAGGTGTTGAGTTTGCAAGGTGGATTGACCAGTCTGGAAACGTCATCGTTTTAGGGAACATTGTGTATCTCAGGCCTGAGCAGGTATTAATTACTTTTATTTGATTAATTAACTAACTGGTAGTTTTTGTCTATGTGTAGCATATTTTTATTCGATAAAATTTTAAGAAAATCAAAACATATTATTTTCTTAAAGTTTTTTTCTAATAATTCATTCTGAATCGACATGTCACCGAATTATTTATTGGGCTGTTCCGAGTCAAATAACAGCGATACATACTACTTATGATCGAAGTGGTTTGTGTGTGCCTGTCCTATGTCGACTTGTTTTCCTGGACTTGGCATTTGCTAAGGGACAACCAAAGAAATATTATCATAATAATGATATTCTGAATATTATCATAATAATGATACTCTGATTAAGTCTAATTTAGACAATTCTGTTTATCACGCTAAACACCAACACATCTAAATTTCTTTTTTGTGTACCAGGTGGCGAAATCAATGGAGCACATGATATCACAGACTATGGCAAGTCCGAATGATCCAAGAAGAAAACAGCTTGAGCATATGGAGAAACTAAAGGCAATAATTGATAAAAAGGCTAGAACCCAGGTACGAGGGGAGCTTTATTGTGGGCTGGGCTTTATAATGATCCAGACACTTGGGTTCATGAGGCTCACCTTCTGGGAACTTAACTGGGATGTCATGGAGCCGATATGCTTCTTCGTGACCTCCCTTCACTTTGCAATAGCCTATGGTTTCTTCCTTAGAACATCCACCGAGCCTTCTTTTGAAGGGTACTTCCAGCGCCGATTCAAGACCAAACAAAAGAAACTCATGGTACTTCATGACTTTGATGTCCAAAAATATAACCAACTTCGCAGAGTTTTTTATCCTAACCTCGGTTATGGTTTACCACAATCCGAATATTACAAACCAGGGCACCCCGAAGACGGGGCCTTGATTTCTTAGCCAATCCATGCATAGGAATGAGTTCGAGCATGTTCCTGCTAATAACGTAGGGCGTAAAGAATGAATAGAGAACTTTTTGTTACAATGCCAGAAACTTTTTCTCAAGCATCGAATGATCCGACCTTGTTAGAGTTTACTAATTGAAGGCTTCGACAAGATGGTGAAAATTTGAAGATCCATCATAGCATAGCAGCTGGAGTCAAGCTAGCAAAAAGGAACCGGAGTTTGCTGTTCTTATTTTCCGTTCTCTTTTTTTCCTTGTGAGCTGTAAATTATGAAATACAATGCCTCAGTAGAGCGATCCAAATCTTCTTTATTGTTAGTAGTGTTTTCATGCCTCTCATCCTTTATAAATCATGCATAAAGATGACAGTTGCATTTCCTTCGAACGATACCTGGTGACCCGGGATTTTAGGATTCTTATATCAAATCAATCGAGGCAGCGATTCCTAGCCCTATAAAAGAAGGTAGAGACTTCTATCCCGAAACGATGAGTGTCTTGTAACGAAGAAAACATCAGAAGAATCCATCAAAGAATGAGAAAATTTCACTCCAAGAATCCTTGTTTGTTAACTGAATAAGAATTAAAGAATCCCAACAAATTGGGGGCTAGGAATCATGTTAGGCAGTCGATTCCATTAGCACCATTTTCCCTCGTGCATGGTAGATGTTGGCCACCATCAAATTCTTAATTCTACAGGACAACGGGTGGAATCTGCACTCGAATCAACATCACATTAATCCATAAATTGATGTTTTCTCGGTTCCCCCTCTTTCCTTGCACTGAAACGGACAGGAAACACCGGCCGGCACCATTACCTTAACTTCCCAAACCACGGGAACTCCCTTAGTTGGAATCCGCCATGGCACGGATCCATTTCCTTTATTAGACGCATCAATAATTGGTGAATGCTTATGATTATCAATACTGCAACTTCATTTTCTTGATAATTACTATCACGTCATAAAGTTCGGCAAGATCCAAACATAGCCCATCAATAAACATTAGAATCCTTTCAGAGCTTGAGATGCCCTTAACAACGGAATTCTCGTATTCTTACGGGCACATTAACACTTGTTTATTTTGCAGAAAATATTTTACATATGAAAAATGTAAAATATATTCTCTGTGATACAAAAAGGAACATGCTTGCATATAAATATTTATTTTATAATTATTATTTATTATTAAAAAATAGTAATATATATATTTCAAATGTGTGTGTGTGTGGCTTTTGATGGATCTAATTTTTTATTTCATTATCTCTTTAAAATGAATTCGTCGTAATTATTGGTTATTATTTTTTCAAAAATAGAAATTTTCCTCTTTCCCTTTATTAAAAAATCCCTAGAATTTTGCTGAGGATTAAAATATTTCATATGCTCCTCCATATATCCCTCCCCTTTTTCCCCCTGCAGGCCTGCACCGCCAGCCTCCCTCATTAAACTGCTTCATATAGCGTTTCGGAAATTATTTTCAAGGCGTGCCATCATCAACGGTTATAGAGTTCCATCACCAGCAGGCGCAGCAACTCTAGACCATTCATCATCACCCATGAGATACAACAGTACCAAAAAAATAATGCAACGTACAGAACCAACCGGAGATTCCATCGATAAAGGATTTTTCAGGCGATTCCTTCACCGTAGAGCCGTTGACCAGATATCAGAGTTCCTCTCCATTCCGGTTGGAGAGAAGTTAGAGAAAAGCTCAAAGATATCAGGCGCCCTTTTGGAATTTATGTTGAGAATGCGAAGAATATTTTGAATCTTCTCTGGTAAACGGAACAATCAAGGTATAACAGTTCCATTGGCTTTGAACGATAACGGGTGACCAGGCTAACGAAAGCAGCAGGAAACGAAACGGAACTGCGTCTGTATAGAAGGAACTCAACTCCTCGGCTATTAGAGGTCCTAATAGGACTCTAAGATAACAGTTCCGTTGGCTTTGAACGATAACGGGTGACCAGGGATTTTAGGATTCTTAAATCAATCGTTCAAGGCAGCGATTCCTAGCCCTCTAAAAAAGGTTAAGACTTCTATCCCGAAACGATGAGTGTCTTGTAACGAAGAAAACATCAGAAGAATCCATCAAAGAATGAGAAAATTTCACTCCAAGAATCCTTGTTTGTTAACTGAATAAGAATTAAAGAATCCCAACAAATTGGGGGCTAGGAATCATGTTAGGCAGTCGATTCCATTTGCGTGTGCGCGCAAGAGATTCTTTACAACCTAGTGAGAAGTCTACTTGCACCTTTTTCCCTCGTGCATGGTAGATGTTGGCCACCATCAAATTCTTAATTCTACAGGGCAACAGGTGGAATCTGCATCACATCAATCCATAAATCGATGTTTTCTCGGTCCCCCCTCTTTCCTTGCACTGAAACAGATAGGATCCCGTGCAAGAATTGTTGGCGCAGTTGGCGTGGAAACACCGGCACCATTACCATAACTTCCCAAACCAAGGGGTCTCCCTTAGTTGGAATCCGCCATGGCACGGATCCATTTCCTTCATTTGACACATCAATAATTGGTGAGTGCTTATGATTTTCAATCCTCCAACTTCATTTTCTTGATAATTACTATATATCACGTCATAAAGTCTTACAAAATCTTCTTTACTAATGAATTGTTTCTGCGTATGTCCACTGATCAGTAGTGTTTGCTTTTGAAACTATGGAGCCTGACCTAGTTGATATCGTGACGGCATTCTGCTGACAAAAATAAGCATTCTTCCTACGAGGTCCACTTAGCCACTAGACATTATTTGAATTACGGAATTCACGGGTTTGGAGAATTAGAATATGAACAGGGAAAAGCACCTCCAATCACTTCAGGATCTGCTTGACGAGAAATGCACCAATATTTCTATGCGGTTATAATCTCTTCACATCACATCTAATTTGTTAAACTTGATTCGTCTAAAACTCTAAAGCTATATTTAAACAAATTATTTTGAATAAAATTATTTTTAAAAAATCAAAGCACTATCATTTTATAATTAAAAAATAAAGAAATGAAATTTTGAATGGTTTAACCCAAAACCATCAGATCATGAATTAACTACATTTTTAACCATGTAAATTTCTCCATAAACTCTGACTATACCAGGATTTATGTAGACGCCAGGATGATCCAAATTTAATAGCCAAGCTTATAATTGTCGGTCCATGTTTGTTTATGATAATTCTTTGATTTATATATATATGAACACCGTACGTATGCATTTTAATCACATCGTAAATGATTAAGCAAGATGACTTATGACACTTCATGCTAAAGGTGGGCCATCTAAAATTGATTATTCCAAAGGAAGAGGAGAGGGCGACGCCGGAACATTCCGGTCGCTAGAAAAATCTCAAGCTAATCTCCTAATGCTAAAAGAAAAGGAAAAGGAAAGCCGAAATTTGAAAAACGACATGAATTTAGATTTAAAAATAATAAATATAAATTTCCAAAGGACATGGAAGTCTATTAATCTCTAGTGCTTCAAAAGTAAAAGCAAGCTTCCTAAAAGTAAAAGCAGGGAAAAGACATAAAAGCAAAATAATTAAAGGGGAATTGCTCTTGGCACGGATCTGAACAGTTTTTATGCTTAAATGACCAAAATATCCACTACACCTCGGTAAGGAGGATAAAAATCATCCAGCATTGATAGGGTGATTAATTTTGTTTTAATGCTAATAGCTAGTGTTATATAGCATTGGTTACTCTCAACTTTTAACTTTAATTACTTTATTCTTAATTGTAGTATGGCCAAACTCTGTATCATGACTTAGATGAGTGGTCATTGAATTATTGGGTAAAATAATCTTTAATAAAAATATAAAATTAATCTAAGTTTTAACAAAATAGTTTGATTTATGAGTCGAGACCATGTAGATTTAAAAATTACACACTTATAATTAATTAATTTCAAATTGATTTTTTTTAAATTAGTATAGGTATTTGAGTTAATTTGCGTATATCTTAACTCGAATTCTAAAGTTAACGACCATATAAATATTCAATGATTCTAAAATTTTGGAGACTTGAATTGATAACTTTTAAAAAATAAATATAAAGACTGACTAGTTAACTGTATCTCTTAAAATTAATTCCAAGTTGATTTTAATATAATTTAATTGGACTATTTCTTTCATTTTTCTAAATATTTAAAATAAAATAAAAATAAAACAATTTACATTTGACCAATTGATTATTAATGAAAGTTGCACATAGACAATTTACATTTGACAAATTGATTATTAATGAAAGTTGCACATAGATTCTTGGAGGTGGTTTGACATTTTCCCCATACATGAAAAGCAGCCATCCTCGAGAATCCATGCATGTTATTTCACTCAACAAGTGGCGATAAAATGATGCCGGCCTGAGATTTGGGGAATCCTAATCTCGCTGTAGCTTCTTGTACCAGCAATGTTTTCAGATTCAATTAATTCGAAGGACACTAGCTTAGGTTTGCTTGTGATTTAGCATTCACTCTCAAGCAGTGTCAGTGAATTTATTTTTTTTATTTTTTATCTCCGATATGAATTATTCAAGGAGACATTGAAAAATAAAACGTGAAGGCACTGCTTCATAAGTATGGATGACTTGTCTAGAATGCAATTACAGAGAGACTCGGTTGTGTTTACACTAAAACCAGCTCAAAAATATTATTTTTTTGAAAAACAAATACCCCTTTAACGGATATATTGTGTAGTTTCATGGAGTATATAAGTTCTAAATTAGTAGCTTTATTTTTATAAAATAAATTAAATAATTCTTTTAGTTTCAAAGTTTAATCAATTAACCCCTTGATCATTGTTATTTATGTTAAAAACAAGAGGGACTAATTTATATTTTACTCCAATTTTATGAGGGAATGAGAGAATCTTTCTATCATTCATAGAAATGCAATTGGGTAGATGCTATAGGTATACACATGCTTTCATATCCATGGTGGTTATTGGGTGGAGTAAATTATAAAGTAGTCCCTCCCTCTAATCTTGAGAAATAAATTAATTAGTCCCCCTTGTTTCATCTGTTATTTCTATTTATAACTTATTTTATTTTTTAATAAAAAATAAATAGATATTATGAATAGATTGATGAAAAAGGAAGAAAGCATAGTCAACACTAGTCAATAAAACAAATAATTAGATTCTTACAACCAATTCTTTATATAAGAAAACTAATTAATTTATTTCTTGAAACCAAATGGAATAATTTATAATTTACTTTTATTCTATGCTTATATATGGAGGCATCTCCACATGGCCGGTTGAATTTGCAGTTCTAAGCAGAGTTCTTGTTACTTTAATATATTCATGT